GTTACTTTTGGTTATGTTGTTAAAAAACATTCCACATTGGATTCTATATGTATTGTAGAAAAATTGTAACATAAAGATAAGCAATACAATACAATAAAATAAAAACTAACCATAAATTGACTATCCAGACAAAAACAACACTAATTTTGCAGCCAATTTTTTCTACTAGGTTTTATCCTTTGTGTGTGTATTTTTAAATAAATATATTTTTACATTATTTGGTAACCTGCTCTTTTCACTCAGTAGGATACCACACATATATACCGTAATAATAAATATAATTCCTATATTTTCATTGTTAATAGTTATACATGTTGTATATTACATTATATATGTAACCTACATAAATAATCAGACATTGAGTTGTTTGCCAATATAGTTTCTTAAACAAAGCACAATACCGTTAATCTAGGATTGTCAGGGAAAGAGTTGCTCCAAATAAAGAAATTACCAGTCAGCTAATATTGAAGATTTTATGGAGCAGAAATTTAGAGATCTCATTGTCCTTATAACAAAACAGTTCTTGATCTAAAAGAAATGCCTTTGCAGTATTTTCCCTAAAATATTATATCCTATCTATTTTTAAATCTATCATTTAACCATTTATTGATAAACTATAAGCACAGACTATTATGCCATATATCAATATAATCCATCCACTTTTCAATTTTGGGATCATTGCTTTTACTATTACTCCTCCATAACTGCCTCAATAGCTTTTAAGTTGTTTTATCTAATTCTAGTTTCTCATGGCTGAGACACTGAGGACCTAGGCTCATTAACATGTATACATTAAATAAGGCTCAATAAATCTATGAAGGAAATATTTGAGTCAGTAAACATCATCCATTAGTTTTATGTATTATTTTCACTTACACTAACTTACATAATATTTTTTAAAACCTATAGGTGAGTGTTATTTTGTGCTATTACAGAAAAGGAAACTGATTATTTGGAGAAATGAAATAGCTTACCCAATGTCACCTAGCTGTAAAATGCCGTGTAAAGTCTCAAACCCAATTCTTCTCATTCAAAATCAACTCTAAGGACTCTGTTAAGAGCAATTTCAACTTTTTTGTTTCTTCTGGCTGAGGAATTGTAATCCAGAGGTTTCCTAAAATATGTTTCATCAAATACAAATGATACAAAGTATAAGTACTCAATAAAAGAGAGAAATGCTGGATCAAAAACTTGGTTTACTGCAGGATTTCTCAGAGATTTTTAATATGCTAATATGCTTCATAAAGCTCCAAAATCAGCATTTTCATAACTTGAACCTCTGAGGTGACCCTCTGCAACAGCATACCTCTTCAGATTCCCAAGAGGCAAGCTACAGAAGATAATGTCCCACTGAGGAAGGAGGGTCTGAAGGATGTACACCAGACCAGTAAGTGAGGTCTAACAGTCTTAATCTTTGCAGTTATCTCTCACTTACAACCTGTTAATGTAACAGATATTAAAATATAAATTCTGAAAGAACTTGATATTTATGTGAATTATTGTCTTTTGATAATACAGAAAATTACTTCTAATAAATAGGATAGGTAAATCTGTCACAAGTAGCTACAGAATATACCTATAAACTGTTGTTAATACATTTAATCAGTTAAAAGCTTAAATTCACAGAAAACATAGACATAAAATGGGAAATCTTAGGCTGCATTTGGAATTAAACAATGCACCAGGGCAGACCATAGCACAGTTATACTGTAACTCTCCCCTGAGATACAATGTCCTGTCCTTAGATCTTCATGATCTCTGTGTCAAAAAAAGAAATCCCGATGCAGTGCAATAATTTCCTCTTTCACAAATTGCATGGAATAAAAATATTTGTACAATCCTTCAAAACTTAACAGATAAATTTTAAAAGTAGTTAAATCCATTTGTAGTTTATTAAAATGTTTCAATGAAATAGCACCATTTTAGCATGAGAAATGTCATTATGTAGCTCATGAAATGAAAAAGATTCTCTGAAGAGAAATGGCTGCCCAACTTACTCACCTGATAAGGTTCTACATCATGGAAACCCTCTTGGCAGCATCTTGCCATGAACATCTGTGAGTGGAAATTTTACTAAGCATTTTATATTTACTATTTTATTCAATACTTAAAACAGCCCAACAAAATAAGTAGGTATATCAGAAATAGTCACCAATTTTACAAACCATAAAATTGAGGTTCAGAGAGATCAACTTGCCTGAAGAAGCAGAACTAGCATTGGAAGCCAGGCTGCCTAATCATAAAGCCCTTTATTTAAACTACCTCTCTCTGCAATGTTCATATTCAGTTACATATTTCATATAATAAATATATGTAACACCTTGATGCTCCTATTTAAATCATACAGTAGCCATGGAGGATTTAAAAGGAAGAATGTATTCTCAGATGATTCCCCTATTTTACCTTAGCAAGCTTCTTACGAGTACAAAACCTCTGTTTTTTCACTCTGACTTTTAACTAACCTCCACTCTTCAGTTGGAAGTCAAAAGACCATGGCATCTCATGATTTCTTCTTCTCTTTTGACATTTCTGCTGTCTCATCAAGGCTTTTACAAATGGGACTTAAGTATGATTAACTGCAGTACAAGCTAAACCCTAAATACAAATCAACAGGGCAAATATAAATGCAAAGTAAGCCAGCTCTAGAGCCCATGAGCGCTTTACCAGAAAACTGGTAGGTACTCAATCTGCAGTTCTGGACTTTGTATGAATTAATTTTAATTCAAAAGACAATAAAAGGGAGAAAGAATTATATGGCTAATTTGGCCTTCAGTAGAGGAGAAGTTGGAAGCAGTAGAATTTAAAGTTAGAAGGACATATCATATCAATCAATCCACAATTATTTATTGAATATATTTACCACTATGCTACAATGCTTAGAATCCCAATCACTGAGTTATCAACTGGAGCTAAAACATAACTAAAGAATTAGTATGTGTTATGTGAATATACATTACTGGAAAGAGGACGGCATTAACTCCCTGGTAACTATTGTTATATTAGCATAATATAATGCAGAACCCTGAGGGGATAGAATGAAAGACAGGTAAATTAGGACTGATTCTGGAGAAGTCCCATCAATGCAGTGAAGCCCTGTAGGATCGAAGATACACCAGAGTTGTGGGGTTTAATTCCAGAAGGTAGCATCTTTGCACTAGGTCCTGGGTACCAGGAAAGTGAAGCAAAGGATAATGTTGAGTTACAATATTTGGGGCCAAAACCACTAGTTTATCTACAACTTAATGGGAGCTTTTTTTGTCCTCCATTTGTCTATGTAAGTTGGTGTCTTTTTACAATGTAAAGTGCATTCTGACATTTGACACTAAGACCCCACAGGTAGGAAAAACTCCTTCCCCAGGTAATATATATGAAAAGGTCACAGGGTCTATTACGTAAAATTGGTATCATTATACATCCTGATAGTGTCTATTTAAAGAAAATTACAAAGGAACAAGTATGGGTTTTTCTGGTATCCCTCTCATCTGCAAAGAGTGCTCGTCTTCCAACAAAGCATTCCCTCTATCCGGTGGTGTGCTGCTAAGTGTTGAACAACTAGCTCTCAAAGAGAAAAAAAATGTATTATAAATTTTACTGCTTTAAGGATGTATAGTGTGCCCACTGCATTGATGTGACTGAGAAGCTTATTATAAATTCCCTACCAATGACTTCAGTGTGGCTTGCTGTTCTTTATAAAATCTACTATCAGTTTTTTTTTCATTCTATCCCCAAAAATAATGGCCCAAAGTCAGACTATGTATAAAAGCTTAATCATGATCCAATTCAAAAAACAAGTCTCTCATGTCATTGACAAATGAGTATAGTTCTGGCATAAATGTTTGTTGATATTTTCTTTTACATTATAGAGTGAATCTAAAATAAAACAAGGATATATGTCAGACTTAATTCAATTTTCAATGACATGAGAAATATCTTTGCTGAATCTGAGTAGCTTGAAATACTAGAAAAATATTTTCTCAATGTTATGTGCCCTCCACAATGTAACAGCTGCAGACCAACACAATTTTAAATTTAATCTACATTATTAATATTTTCTCCATCATTTTTTAAGTCTAGAAAGTGAACAAAATTGTGGCATTTATTATTTGTACAGTGCAAGTATTCCCATTATGGTCAATTTCAAAACACTAATGCAGGACTGAGAAGAGCAAATAACATTACATACTATTTCCAGATACCATAGATATAAACAGCATCAAAAGCACAGGTAATAGTAAAACATAGTAAAATAATTAGGAAATGATGTCAAGTATTTACTACCTTTGTTTGTAACATAATGTTCACTTATAAGTTATGTAATTTAATTTTTAATAATTGCTATTTAGCAAACAGCAAAATTGCTGTAAATTTAACAATGGACTCTTGCAAGCCTGTATGAGCTGGCTTCAGCCTGTCACTGCCTCTCTCCATCCTAGCTGCCAGGAAGGCAGCATGCCTCCCTTCTCATTCTTCTCAGATGTATTTCCTCAGTTGCAGAATTATTTTGGAAATTCCCTACCACAGCCTCTTTAGTTTTTAAGAACTTCATTATTATTTTCTGAACTGGAATGAAATTTGAGAGATGACTAATGGTCATAAAGAAGGGTGGGCCAGTTAACCATTACAGAGCAAACTGTAAGCTCAGGAAAGGGGTGCTGGGATGTGAAGTCAGAGGACCTGGGCCTGCGACCCAATCCTGCTAGCTTAGATGTACCTTTCAAATTGTGAGCTTCAGGATTCTTATCCGTAAAATGCATTTAATAGCCACTCCACAGGATTTTTATGAAGAGTACCTAAGAAAATATCTGCAAAACTGTTTTATAATTAACGTTATGATACAAAATAAATCACTTTATTATCTGCTATTCTTTCAAATAACTTTAACCTTTTAGAATTTCTTTCTTGAGGTTCTGGAAGATTTGGAGGAGGGGTTTTAGAAATGCCTACAAATACCCATCATGTTATGCTTTAAACTTATGAATTTTTAATTCATTCATAGAATACTGCAAATATTCTCACTGTTCTAATTTTATAATAATTAGGGTAAAGAAAAAAAACATTTGCTATATAAAGACCATGCATGTGTCCCCAGACCTAGTTCTTTTCCCAGGTATGGTTTTATAAATGATGGCGAAAAACCAAGTCTCATTAATATGATGCATCTTAGAAGGGAAATGTCTATGACTCTAGGTTTTGATCAACCTTGAGAAATGATAGCACAGCTGCTATAAAAACTCTTGAAGATAATCACTTCTAATTTGATGACTACCAGTTGCCATTAAATAAATTGTAAAATCATTGTGTTTTCTTTTCTAGGTGATTCTGCTATCATTAGAAGTATTAGAACAGACTGGTGAAAAGTAATCATGCAAAATTTTTCTTTCATAAAACTGGCCAGAGCTTCTTTTAAAAACATTGTTTTCATTTCAGCCATTTTCTTTGCATCTTTTTGTTTTAGTACACTTTCCTGAAGATAAGGAGCAGAGAGAATGAGGCAGCAGCAAGATATGGTGGCAAGACTTTTGGGCTAAGAGCCCAAAACATCCTCGTTTCCATTTTCCCATTTCTTTTATAAAGGGAGAGTTCCTTTCTTGTCCTGGATTTTTAAGAGACTTAATTTTCAGAATTCCTGTCTCAGGACTTTACCGGTATTTACATTTGAATATGTGTGAGGGACAGCAAGTTTCAATGCCTAGAACTTAATCATAATTTAATGTATAGTCCAGCTTAAATCTACTAAGTCTGAGTGCAAAGAGGATTGAACAACATATGTTCCTTCACCCAAAATGTTGTCACAGGCTGAGAAAAGCTCTATTGAACTTTAATGTATTCTTTCCTAAGGTTGTACAGCAGTTGGGGTAGAAGAACTTGGACAACCTGAGAATAACCCCAGACCTTCAATCAGCGTTAGGTCCACAGCTGCCAAAAGTGTGTTTTGTATCATTTTGGTCCTAAGATGTATACCATGAAGTACATTCAGTGTTGAGATTTTGGGGAAACTGCATACTGCATATCTCAAGGGTATCCCATGGAACCCTTTTCCCACATCTGCTAATATCCTTTGGAACACTGGCAGAATTAATTTTGGGGGGAATACTGATTTAGATACACCTTGATTTACAGAATTTAATGGTATAAGTAGGGAATCCCTACACAGTCTGTGCTGGGCTCTAAAGGAGGCTGCAGAAGTTCCAGAAATGACACTGTCATTTGGACTTTAGAATCAATCAATTCACACAGGCAGTTTTTGGTGGCAGATGAGTGAGACATAGGAGATGAGAATGCCTTTAATACACTATCCTGAAAGTCAAGTATTTACTGAACTTGGAGTCAGAAGTCTCTACCTCTTAATAGCTGTATAGCAACCATGGCTGGGTCAAGTCCCCAGTTTCACAGGTGAGGGAAGTGTCTGCTTTCATGCTAACAATATATGATTTTAGTTTGTTTTTGAAGTTAATCTGAGGTCGTGGCTAAGGAGTCTAGCTGTTGTGAACTAGAATTCCCTTACTGGTTATTCAGTTACTCAGTATTTAAAACTTTTGAGGGGGAAATTGGTCATATTTTGATTTTGTTTGCTACTTCATTACAACTGGCAATTTATGATTAAAGACATTTTTCTAGTTTGGAAAAAATCTTGTATGTATTGCAAAATATGTAGACTTGCTTATGAACATTTACATTACAGAAGATACCAAGCATATTCAAGAGAGCTTAAATGTGTGAAATGACATTCAAGATATCAGGGTTTTACATCTAGCTCATTCAAACACATTCATGACACTATTTTAAATTTCTCTGAACCCCATTTTGCTTATCTTTCCACTGCCATGATTAAGCGAAGTAATTTAATGTTCGTTCTAACTCTAATTTTGCTTATTATTTCCTTACAGCTTTCCTAAAGTATGTCTTTAAATGTTGTCTCATTTACATGGTTATCTATAAAGTAATAGCTGCAATTTTTGGCCTTTAGACCCCTAAACTCACAATCAGCCCTTACATAGGGATGTACTTTGAAACAGGTCCTTTTCCTATAGAGGAACAGTCCACAGTCCCATTGTTATTATAGCTACACAGTGATGACTATTTTGCTTTTAAGTCACTGGGGTATATTGAGAAGGGATATGAAAGTAGACAGAAAATTTTAAAACCAAAATATGAAAAACTATCTTCTCCAAGTAAAAATTAAACATCTTTGAATGTATAAGGGAAATAAAACAGAAAATCTGATTTATTTTGTTATACCTTGGTGGTTCACTCTAAAGAATACATTGATTCTGTGAAGATCTATAGAATGTTTAGAAATACTCCTCTTTTTTATGTTATGTTTCTTTTGATATCTAACTCCAAGTTTTCCTATTTCTAAGGACTGATCTCTCACCTCTAACTAGTCCTTCAATCAGCCTCTCTATCCTTAAAATTCTGCCCCTCACAGCTCTGCCACAGAGCTCCTAAATCCACACTCCTTAGCCCTTCTCAGAACATGGGCTGCCAATTCGAGCAAAAAGAAAACTAAAACAAAACAAAATAAAACCTTCAGTACAAGTAAGAATCACTTATATACAAGTGACTGTGATAACTGCCTGGCTCCTACAGTTAGGTGCAGAAGTGAAAATGCCACCTGGGTAATACCTTAGATGATAAGAGACTTCTTGGAATTTATTTATTATACAATAAAGAAGAGTAGGATGTTCTTTCTGAAATATTTTTCTTGGGAACTCAACATGTAAGCCTCTACTACTGACAAGGTGGCATTTTTAGATTAAGCCATGGGAAATCTAACATGATTTACAAATACAACAGTCCAAGAATAACAGCCTTCCTGCCATCCATGATTGGCATAGTTATTATAAACTCTATTATAATCTTATCTTGCTGTCCAACAAAGCTATTCATTCAACAACTAAGCTCACATAAAAGACAAGGCAGAGTCTACTTATTTGCAGAAAAATGCTTTTGAAAAACACAGTCTCATTGCTCAGACAGTATATGACATGGTGCAAGGTGCTTATGATAAAAGGTGGCAGGAAATAAACTTGAAACAGAAATACCAGCTGAGAAGGTGTTTAATCTTTGAGGTGTGGGGTATTACATTCTAGCACTCTCTCTGACTGAAATCAGGCATGAAGGGAAAAACTATCTAAAACAGATGGGGGAAGTACTTTCAGGTCCCTTTGATGTCTGTGTTGGCAAAGCACTTCAGCGTTCACATCCAGTCTTTAATAAAACAGCTGAAGTTCCTGGTTTGTAAATAAAGGAAGCTAAGAGATTGCTGAGTAGGGTATGTTGCACACATAAAAATGCAACTTCACTTCAGTGTATGCCTGAAACCACTCATCTAGATATTCATGCACACACACACACATACAAACACACACACCTCTTACAGTGATCTTATAAGTAACTCGGTACCTGATTTTAACAAGTTCTGTAATTTTCAAATAATTTTTATCATGGAAAACTAATAATTTTCTATAAATTCATATATTCAAAATTCTGAAGAAAGTTGAATAGCCCCTCTTTTCCCACAAGGAAGGACCTGAAGACAATAAGCATGGTAGTAGGGAGACCATACCGGTCTCTGTGTGAATTATCAATAAAAAACTTAAGTTACTTTTCAGCAAGAATAAGGAGCAGACACAATAGTGGTAAATTAAAAAAAATAAAAAATAAAAAAAAAAGGAGACTTTGTCAATGATTCAGGTACTACCCAAACTGTCCTGTGCCTCCAAATCCATAAAAGCACAAGGGCTTGCCAAAGGCCAAATAGGAACCAGATAAGTGTTAACATGAGAGAATGCAAGCCCCACGTCCCACGGGTCTCCCTGGTGGATGGTGCTAATGTTCTGCCCAGCCCAGGTTTGTACAGAGTAATTCCTGCTCCGTCCCCACTCTCATTGACACACACGCCTGTGTTTCCATGCTCTTCTGGACCCACTACTTCACACCATCCCCTACCAAGTGCTGCTAACAGGGGAAACCTAGAAAATTTGTGTTTTTCATACAAATCCATTCTGTTCACCCAAGACATATAGAATATCAGGAATTACGAATTGAGACCTAAGTCTGAGATTACCTAAATCCAATCCCACTCAAAAAGAATCCCCTCATATGCTCTTCAGTCAACGAACCTGCTTCTGTGTCTGTCCTCTCACTGCATGCATTGAGAATCCACAGATATGATGAGGGATCAAATTTATCATATCCTACTGGGACACTGTAAATATTAAAGAAACTCATCTATTCTTGAGTTGTGATCTTGTTCTCTGTGGTTTTTAACCTAGAGTATCTGGCTGTTCCTAAGGAGAGAGAGATAAGAGACATCTTTTAAAATATCATTAGTTAGCTATTTATTATAGTTCTTAGTTCTAAGAAGTTTTTAGCATGGGGATTATTATAACCACACCCAGATTTTAGGACTTATTGATATACTTTTTCAGTGTGGTGCCTCCTTATTCACCAGGATTTCTTAAATATTACTGATGAAAATTCTGTAACTATGTTCACAAGTCCCTTCAATAAAATACAGGGTAATTTATTGGAATCAACATCACTTTGTATAAAAGAGATCAGCATCTTCTTTCATCATGTATTTCAGATTTTAATTCTACTTTTCTAATTGGAAACTAATTTTCTTGTTCTTGAATACAGAAGAAAAATCGTTGAGTCGAGAAGTATCTATTATCTCGAGAAGGACAGCATCTGGGGAAACTAGGCTTGTCTCATTCTTGTCCATCTTGCTCCCTGCCCTCTGTAACAGTCTTTCTACAATTCTCTACGATTCTAGCCTTTTGCCTATTTTCATATTCTTCCAGACCTCTCCCCCTCCTTTACAAACATATGGCATTCCATATTTTGAATCCTTTAGAACTTGATTTCATCACAGCATTTTCTGTGGAGTGATTTCGCTGTGGTTGTTATCTCCCCTTTATTTTTCTCCTAAAAATATTTAGTAATTTTACTTTGAGATTTTTACATTTTTCATTCTAGAGGCCCTAATCTCCCCTTAAGAATATCCAATGTTATGATATGCCTATCTCTTTTTTCTCCTCAACTTCTGGAGCCCAACTTCTGTCAAATCTAGAGGTATGCTTGACTGCAACTAATATTTCTTCACATCATTTTTATGCATCCTACCACAT